AAAAAAAAAAAAAAAATACACTTGGAAAAATAATAGATCTATGCATGATCATTTGTATTGTACTTTTAGTTTTTTCATATTATTTCTACATAAATGAAAATACTATACATACTTTATAAAGAATACCATTAACTATAACATTGCATTAGTGAGAATTTTGTATAGCATAGCTCATTTATTTCAAGGAAGAAGTTAAACCACAGAGTGATTTTCATGTTTCCTAAAAATACTGATATATTCAACAAGACTTAGAAAATAATAGCTCTCCTCCTTTGACATTCTTAACTGCCTTATGTTAATTCACTCACTAGAAAAAAATATAACAAGCTTCCATCCGTGTTTATTATAGGCTTCTCCAGCTCACACAACTCCCCAGACCCAAAATACAAGTGGTCGTCGAAGAAGAGCAGCTAATGAAGATCCTGATGAAAAAAGGAGAAAGTTTTTAGAGCGAAATAGAGCAGCAGCTTCAAGATGCCGACAAAAAAGGAAAGTTTGGGTTCAGTCTTTAGAGAAAAAAGCAGAAGACTTGAGTTCACTAAATGGTCAACTGCAGGTAGGGTACATATATGTGAATTTTGTTTTATTTATTTCTTTTTAATAATTGTGAACATAGCTTTTTCCTATTTTTCTAGTTGGCCATCCAGACATTTTGGGACATAATATTGGGTGTGTATGGAATCATAGTTTTGTAAATCTGCTTGAATGCTAAGGTGAAGTAATACAAAACCTTTCAACATGGAATCAATGAAGAATTTTAAAGTATAAGTGTTTACCTGTGTAGTACAAAGTGCCTAAACTGTCTGGTTTGAACTTGATAAAGTTATGATATAAAGTCCAAACAAGGAATTTGAAAATTTAAAAATATCACCTGATATTTCACTTTTATTGTCTATTTTTTTGGTTTATATCACAACTGTAAAGTTGCTTGGTATCAGTCTTTATTTTTAAATTCTTTCATTCTTTGAATTATAAACTTGTTTTGTTTTATTTAATGTGAATATAGTGCTTGTGAAAGGTGCCAGATTGACAGCTTTGGAAACTAAAGGACACTAATTATCCACAGAACAGGTGCAGTATGGCCAGTGGCAGTACAAATCATTTCATGTTGTCCTGCCAGTGTGCCTCAGATATATTTCTTAGAACTTTATGGAGTATAAAGGTTCTAAGGCTCCTTCCCAGTTCAGTCTTTGGTAAGATTTCCAGTGACAGTATCAGGCAGCACTAAACCTGTTTCCTTTCAGTTTTTTCTTCCTTCCTTTTGTTTTTGTTATTTTTGTTTTTTAACATTGTGAATATTCTCCAGTAAAATCTTTTAAATACAAAGTGATGAACATCAACAAGAAAATTTATGTTAACGAATTGCAGT